CAAAAGATCAAGGTTATTACATTCAGTGGATAAATTCACCATTCATCAACTTATAATCTAAAAAGATTTAATAAAATCCTTAATTTCTTTTTGATAAAAAAGTACACATTAATAACCCAGCTGTACAACTACCAATAATCTTCAAATACCTGTAAAATAATAAAAATGTTTAATTCTACATTGTGGAAAATTTTACTATAAATCCACTGGAAAAGATGATACAATCTGTGAAAATTTAAACATGGTACGACACGCTTTTAAAATGTTAATGCAGTCTGCAATAGACATCAGCATAATGTTTTCTAATTAAATTCTAATAATTCTAATTTTGTTTTTGTTCTTCAGTGTTCTAACAATCTGGAAGGGGGGGGGGGTGAAGATGGGAGATACTTGAATGCAAGGAGATAGACAAGCCACAGCTGTAAGTCTGACATAAGGCTACCTCACACTAAAAATAAGCTTCAATTTAGTCTTCTCATGTATAAATATTTAAGTTTCCTTCCTTCTGCGGGACAATTCTTCCCTCAGTTCTATGACCATTGTTTGCCCCCAAACAGTTCCTTTAAGCAATTAAGTCCAAGGAAGACAAGGACATTCCACAACGATTTTTAGAGCCATTCCTACAGGTATCCTACAAGCTCTGACTAGATTACTAACATGTCAAAGGTTCTGTAAAATGTGTCTCAGCCATTTTCAAGACCTTTAACTTTGGCTGAGGACTGTAAACCTGAAAGCACTCAACCTTTTTTTTTTTTTTTTTTTAATTTTAAACCTGTATGAAAATGCATTTCTTCCAAAAAAAAACTTACCTTCAGCTCCCAATGACAAATCATCTTCAAAACTGCCTCCATTTCTCACAAGCACACCTGAAAGAAATGTAAGATTCATTCTGGTGTTCTGTTCTTTTGGACTCACATATAAAATCGTAGTTTTAGCTAAAATTGACCAAACAAAATGTAAGCTACAATAAGGTATTTCAAACCTGAATATACTCATACATTATTCTGATTGTATAATTTCAAAAAGCAAGAATAAGCTTTACTTTATCGCAAAGAAACCATGATCTGCATCAAGGTAAAATTGTTATAAGCCCTGATAGAAGTTATTCTATACTCACTATGTCTTTGAAGATATTCATTTAGCTAACATCGTATCCAAGAGTTTCAAGGAAAATCAGATCCTGGAGCAATCACTCCTTTTAACCTCCCTTAATAGTCAGAAGCTCAAGCTAGATTTTTCTAATACTTTAAGTGTTTTGTTTTTTCTTTTTTATATATGCCTTGCCACTACCTGTACATTCTTGTTGTACTTTGAACTTTAGAACTGTGTCTCACACAGGTGGTAAAATTTCAGGTGTGGCAATTTCGGTTAATGTAATGTAAGCAAAGAAATGCTGTACTAAAGCTGACCCAGTTCACTCAATATTTTCCTTAAGTTTACATATTCTATTTCTGTATTTAATTAGTTTTAATAATATCTAACTGGATAATAAAAATATGAGTTTCACACTGTGTAAAGCTTTAGGGATTTTCTTAAACTATTCACTGTTTTAGGGTTCATGACAAGGTTTCTTTCTTTTGGCTTTTCCCTCAGAATGGTATAGCTTATAAAATGAACATCACTTTTATAATTTACATATGTATACTTTCACTCAAAGCAGTGAAATAAAGTAGGACCTTCACGTAAAGAACAGATTTAGAAAGGCAACTTTCTCTTACCCTTGAGTGTATTACTGCTTTGCTCATCCAGTGAGGCTCCCAAAGGGGTACTGAAACCACATAAACATATAAACCTCAGTCTTGAAAAGCTGTCTGGAGAGTTGTCACTGCACAACTTTACACTTAAAAGGTCATAGCCAGCAAGCTTCTAATCACATTTAACTATCCTCCCCAAACACAAAAGGAATGCAAGAGTATTACATAAGTAATATCCTCCTAACTAAGCAAATACCTATCCTCAAGTCAGTTCACCAGGAATGATTTAATCACACATCTGATCTGCCAGCAATTAAGAACAAGAATTATAATTACAAATGATATGAATTAGCATTTTCTTTACAAAAACAGAAAAAGAGAATGTCAACACGCATTAAAAAAATGTCTGCTCCCCTCAATCCCTTCCCTAGAAACAGGAAACAGAATTAAAAGAAAACAAATCTTTATCTAAATAAAATGTAAAAGTCAGGGTCTAGTGAGAAGTAAGGTTCAACAGTTTTTTAAACCTCATCTGTTAAATCTATCACCAGCATTTTAGAGCATCAATTAGTGCCTCCCTTAACCCCAACTACTATCTTTTTTGGTCTAACGGAGAAACTTGAGATTATTTTTTTCTGCTTTGAAACTGTAAAATACATAGATCTTCATTCAACTCTGTAAACTAAAAAGCCGGCTTGAGAATCAACCTTAAGAACCAGCCATTGCTAAAATTCCCACACATTCTTCCCGTTCAAATGCAGATAACTTAGAAATCTTTTTTCAATGTGAAAATGTTTTTCACTTCTGTCTAAAAACTGAATTATATTAAGAAATGTTTTATTTTGAACGTTCTGTTTTATGATATAAACCTTTCATCAGTAACAATTTATACCTCTTACAAATTCACATCAGTCATGAAATCAATCATAAAAATATCAGTCTAAAAAAACTTATTATTGAAATGGCAATTTAATGTTAAAACTTTCTCCAAGCAAATACACAGGCAATGGTAGTTCTTCGAAAATTAGTGCTTTTGAAATGTTAAAGAATCACAACTACCATGAAACCAATAAAAAACTGAGCCAAGTTTTTACATATATTTTAATGAAACTTGAATTTATGCCTCTATAAAGTCCTTCTTTCTTGATGGCTACTTTCTTAGGATAAAACACTGTATTACTCCTGCAGATGTCTCTGCTGGTCTATGCACTAACAGAAAATGGCAAATAAAGAGACTGTAACTGCCATTCTCCTTCAGAAACAAGTTTCTCACTCTTATAACTGCTTTCTTCTAAATTCGTTCAAAAACTATCCTTTCTTAGATGTTAATCCAAGCAATTATTTCCACTTAGCAAAAAAAAAAAAAAAAAAAAAAAAAAGATTATCAAAGACCCCTACACCCTTTAAGGAACAACAAATGGAATCTTTATTCAGAATATGGACAGCAATACAAAAATAAATAAATAAATAAATAAGAATGTATCCAGGGGGAAAAGCTAGCTTTAAATCATTTGTAAATACTGTATACAAAGTAGGTAAATGCCCAACTTTGAAAAACCTGTTAGAGAAAAAAACCCTAGAGGTGCATATGTCCTAGCAGTCAAATCTGCAATAATACAGCTAGCATTACAAGACTATTTGTTCCAGCTTTCCCAGGTACAAATGAATGTCCCTTTTGTACAGAATAGATGCAACTGTAGGGAACAAGAAGGAAACCTATGCAGGAAACCTAAGAGGGAAGGAACAGCAGACCAAAGAATCTGCCTACATAAGACCAGCAACAAAACTTGAAATTTTCGGAGATGGTATGTCTGATGAATAACATTTGCCTACTGCATTTACCTTACAAGATAAACTTACTTATTTACTGTCTACTTGATGTGATCTTTTATATAATCTTAATTCCTATACATCATAAAATAATGTGATTTTTCACTTGCCATTAAACTTTCTTTTTTCCTTTTTCGGTGTATCTTTAGAAAGACAGACCATTTATTTCACCGTTTCTCAAAGAGTCAATGATACTCCTAAATAAGAGTATTTATTCATCATTACTCAAAAATCCAGGTAATTCATTAAAACAGGATATCAACAGAGTAGTGGCCAATATTTTATCTGTGCTTAGGGAAGAAAAATAAACTGGCATATATGAAAATTGCTTCTCCTTCCCCCCCAAAACACTTCCCTACCTCTAGTATACTTGAACAAAACATTAAGAAAAGCCCAAAATGAGATGGCAGAAATATGTGCAGAAGCAAACAACTTAACCAAAGTTAAAAAGCAACATTCTTCATATGATATTCTACAAGTAGAAAATAAATAGAAAAAAATTAAAATAGGTAACAAGCTTTTTTACTGTAGTAAGATTTACTTGCAAAATGATCTATCTCCCCTTGTACTTTATCAACCAGATTGGTACCAGTTGCCAAAGTATGCAATTAAACAGATTTATGCCGTTTGAATGCCTTCAAAGCTCTCTATGTCCCGTCAGTGCATTCCAGTGCCGTCTGACAAATGTGTGCCCAAGGAGTAAACTACAAGAAAAAAAGCTGGTTTTATAGCTATCCAAATAGAATTAAAGCACAGAAATAAAATTAAGGCCAGTTAAGTTGTTAAGTAAATTAAATTCATCTAAAACACATTTGAAAGGGAAATCATTTCATGCCAGATATACAGATGTCAAAACAAAAGCAAAGTAAAATACCGTGTGAAATGTGAAAATCCTTTCGAATAAAAACAAGGCAAGCATATAACGAGGCAAGGCATGATTATTTGTTTTAGGTCTCTGCTCTCCGATGCTAACATCACGCAAGGGGGGCTGAAGTCCTAACAACTGTAAAGTCAACACGGTCACCAAATAATCAGCGGTCACAGTACTTCCATTTCTAATCTTTCAAAGGAGGAAGCTATCCGCCGGCTCACTTTCCGGTTTATAGCTCACACCGCCATGGGACCCACAGGGACTGCGGCCCGGGTGACTCTGCTCCACTCGGGAGGGCCATCTCCGCGGATCTCCCTCTGGGACGCGAGAGGCGAAAGCGAGGACTCACCGGCAGTCCTTGAGCCATATCGCGATCTTCTCATTGGGCACATTTCCTGCGGGGCAGAGTGAGGGGACAGCGTGGTTACCGACCCCTGGGGGACTCCGACGTCGGGGTCAACCTGGACGCTCCCATGTAGGAAAATCTACTGGGGGTAATATGTAGCCTAAGCAACACGTCCCAGTGTCCATCTAAAGGAAAACGAGATGGCACCGGGGTGTCTATGCTGACTCTGGAGACGCCTTGTCAAGGGCACGCATTTAAAGGTCCCAAGTGTCCCCTCTCCCCCGGCCTGCCCGCAGGATCTGCCAGAACTTAGAGCAGTTGCCCACAGCGCACGAGACTTTCCCCCGCCCGCCAGCCTGCACTTCCCCGAGTCCCCCGCCCGCCGCGGCACGGCCGGGCGCACAGACCTCTCTCCGGGGCCGCCGGCAGCTTCGCGCCCGGGAGGTCCTCCTCGTCGTCCTCGTCCTCGTCCTGCGTCGTCGCTTCTGTGGACAGGTCCTCCGTTTCCGACGCCTGCCAGGAGCCGCGGCACTTGGCCCAGGCCTTCCTCCTGCGACTCGCCACTTGCCACTCCAGTTCCTCCTCCGCCTCCGCCGACGCCACCAGGGGCCGGTCCATGGCCGCACCGGGAGCTCCGCTGCCCTAGTCGGAGCCTGCTTGAGACACGGTGGCGGCGGGACCCCCGCCCCTGCTGTCAGCGCCCAGCCGGGCTGGGGGGGGGGCCCCGGGAAGCGGGAGCGGGCGCGGGTGGGGGCGGAGGAGGAGAAGAAGGAGAAGGAGAAGAAGGAGGAGGAGGAGGAGGAGGAGGAGGAGGAGGGGACGGGAGGGAGGGAGGGAAGGAAGGGGAGGGAGGGGGCAGAGGGCCGGCGCTTCACATGAAGCCTGCCCGGCGCGGCGCGGGAGCGCTAGTGGCCCGAGCGAGCGCGGCAGAGAACGAGCGCCGGCCGGCCCCCTGGCCCCGCTCCCCGCTCCCCGCTCCCCGCCCCCCGTCCTCCGCCCTCCGCCTCCCGCCTCCGCCCGACGCGCCGGAGGCCCGGCCGGCCGCGGCGTGTCTGCGCGCCCCTCCCTCGGCGGCGTCCCACGCCCCCTTCCGGCCGGGGGCGCGCGGGGCGGAGCGCGGGGCGGCGGCGCGGACTAGGGCGTTGGGTTTCCCTGAGGTGGCCCGCGGAGTGGGCGAGATTTGTTTGCTTGTTTGTTTGGTAGCAATCTTTGTTTCCTGTCAACTTCTCTCACAGAAAAAATGTGGAAAGGCCAACTGCCCGTCTTCACCGCGTCAAAACAAATGTCTGGTTGGGCTCGCCGAGTTACTATTGTTGGCGAAGTCCAAGGAATTGAGGATGAAGATGAAAGAAAAAAGCCTCCTAATTGGTATTTGTCAAAATGTCAAACCTGGAAAAGACCAAACTTCGTGAAGTGCTACTTTCGTGCCTTAAGAAAGTTATTTATCGTGGTTGTGTTATGTATGAAAACGAATTGAGAAAGAATGTTTAATCTGGAGATTCCACATTGACGTTGGACGTGGAGAGATGAAAAGATAGAGGTTGATGTCAAGATTCAGAACTATTTTGGGGCGCCTGGGTGGCGCAGTCGGTTAAGCGTCCGACTTCAGCCAGGTCACGATCTCGCGTTCCGTGAGTTCGAGCCCCGCGTCGGGCTCTGGGCTAATGGCTCAGAGCCTGGAGCCTGTTTCCGATTCTGTGTCTCCCTCTCTCTCTGCCCCTCCCCCGTTCATGCTCTGTCTCTCTCTGTCCCAAAAATAAATAAACGTTGAAAAAAAAAATTAAAAAAAAAAAAAAAGATTCAGAACTATTTTAAAAATGCATTTGGGCATTCTCCCCCTTTTAAAATCTCATTAGCATAAAGACTCTAAAATCCTGTTGAAATCACACACAAACTTCTGATGGTTTATCAATACCTACAAAATCCTATCCAAAATCCAGACTAAGTTTCCAGAACCACCATTATATTCTGGGTCTAGGTATAGGTACTGTGAAAATACAAGGGGAGCTAGAACAGTGATACTAGAATCTCATCGGCTTGAAATTTCATTATTATTCTTTCCCTGAATGTTAAAGACTTGTCAGCCTTCAAGAATCCTATAGCAAAATGCAGCTAACAGTTTAATGGCCCTTCAGAATAGGCTAGGGCCTAGCTGCCTGTAGGAAAGGTAGGCGAGAGAGAGAGAGAGAGGGAAGTAGCTGGAGAAGAGACACTGAAAGGGGTGGTCAAAAGCCACACACAGAACAAAATATACTGTCTTTACAGTTCCATGCAGGGCCCTAACAGACTCCACCCTATTCATCTGGGGCTTCCAGCTTCAACTCCATTATCTCCACGTGCTGTTTGCTGACTCTATGTCCTTGCCTCTCAATTTACTCCTGTTCTTTTCTCTCCAATACCTTTATGAACTTCAAGATCCACCTGAGCCAGAACTTTTCCTCAACCCTATCTTTCCACCACTTCTGGTCACGTCTCTCCCATGATGCCCTGATTCACAACTGAATGTCTGGATCACTTATTTTAAGACTGAATTGTGCAGTAATATGACTGGCCTTTGAGGGTATGTTTGACTTCCCAGCCAGATTGGAGTGTAAACCGTGAGAGATTAAAGAACATTCTGTATTCCTCTTGTACCCCTTACACTTTTAGTACAGAGGACTGATGACTTTTCTTGAGGTAAATTTTTCTGTTCTTTATGTTCTTCAGCATGGACAGACAAATGGATAAAGTATTTGCTTTACATTGTTTCTCTAAGTCCTATTATTTTTTATTTAGTTTTGTTGTTTAATACTTTTAAACAACAAAGAACTTTTGAGGAAGGCAATAGTGAAGTATATTTTATATTTAAAAACCAGGGGCATCTGGGTGGCTCAGTCGGTTAAGTTTTGGTCTCTTGATTTTGACTCAGGTCATCTCGCAGTTGATGAGTTCCGGGAGCCAAGCCCCACATTGGGATTCTCTCTCTGTCTCTGTCTCTCTGTTTCTGTCTCTCTCTCTCTCTGCCCCTCAAATACATAAACATTTAAAAAAATAAAAATAAAAGCCAACCACCAGAATCAAGCTATAAAGAAAGGAGGGGGAAATGCCAGCAGGTAGCATTAGAATAGAATACAGAAATTGCTTAAAATCTAATAGCGCAATTGTATGTTTTCTTCTACATGAGCATTTTTAATGTAATATGTTGAGGGTACAGAAGTAGTAGGGAAGGAAATCCTTGAAACAGCAAGCTGTTTTGAACTGTGAAGGGTTTTAATTGTATTCTCAACTTTGAGATATTAAAAAATGCCCAAGGTGTTTCCTTTATTCAGTGAGGAATGCCATGTTACACACGAGGAGAATCTATTTGCTTCTTCAAGGATTTTTTTCCCAACAAGTACTATATTGTTGACCAACTGCATATCCCCATTATAGAAGCTCTCCATAAGGAGTAATGTCTGATTCACTGATACTTGCTAGGTAGAGAAATAAACAAATTTAAGTTAGATGTGGATAATTCCATCCAGCAAGTTGTAGTGGAAACAGTAGGGTCTTCAGTGTCAGATTGAAGTTTGAAATCTGTTTATCTTTCTAGTTTTATGGCCTAAGGCAAAACAGATAATATCTTTGGCCATCACATTCCTCATCTGTGAAATAGCAATCATGATAAATGCCTTCCCAAACTGATGTGAGCATCACATGGAATCACATGGAAGTAGGCGCTCAGGATAGCTGCTGGAATTGTTATATTGCAGAAGGCAAAAATCAATGTTATAATAGAAGGATTATTCTTACACCATTAAGTGACATCTATCCTCATGTGTATGCAGATGAATTTTAAAAATCGCATAAATTCAGGCTAGGACAGAAAACCTATTCTGGTTAGACACTTTTAAATGGAAAAGCTTATCTCTAGAAATGAAACATCATGCTCAGTTTAATTACTTTAGTTATTTTTTACTCTTCCAGACCTTAACACATGCCTTAAAATTACTAAGCAAGATTTACTATTGAGTAAGCTAAAGCATCTTGTTCTAGTTATTGTTTGTTCAAGAATATTTATGTAATCAATATTTTATTTTATGCCTCAAAATCTTGATACAGACTCTGATCAGAAAGTGGTAGCATTGCAGTTTACCAAATTTTCACCCCTTATTAAGACAAAAGGGAGTTGGGGGGTGTAAGCTAAGTAGAATTGAAGGTTAAATAAACAAAGCAGCATTATATATTTCAAAGGAGTGCATGGAGAACAGAATTCTGTATGAAATAAGTTTAGAAAACACTGTATATTGTATTCTCACCTCTCCCACCCAACCCAGTCACAATGAATGTAAGAGACTTGAGAAGTAAGTTCTCAAGGCTTATTAAGGAAAAAAAAAAAAAAACAAAAACAAAAACCTGTTTAACTTTGTTTAACCCAGTATTTCTAAAATTCATTTCAACATGAAATATTTTGGGCTCACTCAGTATAGCTACTAACATTTCCAGGGATACTTAGTGGAATAATTTACACTAAGGTAAAAGAGGGTGAAAGGAAAATATTACTCAACAAATGAATTCTTTGAAAATTTTCAAAGTATTATTTACAAACCATACAAATGAACTATGAGGAAAGGTGGTTAGTCTGATTTAAGATTGTTTTTTTTTATATATTTGAGTCATTATTAATCATTACAGTATTTCTAGTTGTGTATATTTTAAAGTGATAAAATTCATTTATATAGTCTATAACTTGAACCTATTATTCTTAGGGTTTTTCCACATTAGCAAAAATTGAGGGATTATTATGCTAGTTCATTGTCCTCATAAGTAAGCATTAATATAGCGTAACAATCTGCTATTTTTATTTCCCTTATTTTCTCAAGTACACACCAGAGAGAGAAGCAGGTGTTTATACCACTGGAACTTTGCCTTGCAGATTATTTACAAAATCTTGGTAAGTTTACATACTTTCTGATTTTGTGCATGTTGAAGACTTGTCATTTTATCATCCATTTCACTGTCCTCAGATCACCATTTCTTTTTGCCACATACTGCTGAATTTACCCTCTCCATGGTAAAACCTTGTAGATAGCTTGTTTTCTTTTCAGTGGCTCAATTCTTTGGTGTTTCTGAGCAACAGGTAAAAATAGCTCATCTATTCTTCATTAACAATTGACTGAAGCAAGATTATATAACAGAATAAACTTTATTTGGTCTGTTTCATGAATTCATGAAAGTTTAGATCAGTTCTTTTTTTTTTCTTTTCAGTCCTGCCCTAAAATATTGTTTTTAAAGGTCCCTGACATTTTGAATCATAAAAGCTTTTCAAGAGGTACATCTATAATCAGTGCCACTTGGTATTAAACATTTTTATTCAGTACACAAGAGGATGTCATTATTGCACTTCCCAGTTTTAACACTGCCCTATTATGTGATCAATGTATTGATAGACATTTTCTTCCTATTTTAAGATTAATTCTAGCTTGTGTTATATATATGATTATTTCCTATTTGAATTTTTTTTTTCAACGTTTATTTATTTTTGGGACAGAGAGAGACAGAGCATGAACGGGGGAGGGGCAGAGAGAGAGGAAGACACAGAATCGGAAACAGGCTCCAGGCTCCGAGCCATCAGCCCAGAGCCTGACGCGGGGCTCGAACTCACGGACCGCGAGATCGTGACCTGGCTGAAGTCGGAGGCTTAACCGACTGCGCCACCCAGGCCCCCCTGATTATTTCCTATTTGAAGCCATTTAGCACTTTAAAAAGTTTCACAATGCATGTATTTGGAATTATATATTCACAGATAAATCTTCCTTTCACATTTTATGAGAATCAAAAGAAAGGTTGGTGGCTAGATGAACCGTATTTAATACTGATGTATCTTTAAGAACTTTAAATGGTACAGACCTCATAGACAACTGTCTTTCACACACACACACACACAATGTATTTTTTAAAAATAATTCTGATGTGTGCCTGAACTGCACTGCCTCTCCCACCACATTTCCCTTCTCTAATCTCCTTTCTGCAGCTCCTTCATGCCCATCTCAGAACAAACACAATCTGCATTCAGAACAGGACCGTTTACAAGTTCAATGGAGTTATTTTGGGTGAGTCATTGAAAACACAGTACAAAACCTTTCCTCACTCACCAGAAATGCATTTTTAAAATAAAGCCAAAGTGAACAAGGCTTGGCAAGTTTGAGGGTGGACAAAATGGGGAGAGAGCAGGGTTTCTGCCAGACCCAGACAGGATTTTGCTAAACCATTTTTGTCTATTCCTTACATTCAACTCTACCAATTTCTCTTACCATCACTAACCAAAAAGTAGAAGATTGAGCAGGTAGGACATCAAAACAAGGACACTTCATATCAACCACCATTGTGATATAGAGCAGAACCGGCAGATCCCTCTATCTTGGCGTCAGTTTTAAGTCGCCCTTTTTGTCATTCTTCAATTCAGAAGCTATAAGATGTATCTACTGAATAATCTCTTTTTCTAATTAAATCAATTTTGACAAGTTAATAATAATTGTAGGCAATTTTTAGAAAGTTGTATATAAATTCAGTGTATAGTCCTTTAAAATTGCTTTTAAAATAAGTGAAGTTCCATGAGAGTTAATTAAGCAATGAAATGTTAAAGGAAATAGAGCTACAGAGACAGAAAATAATAAGCTAGTTCCTAAGAAACTTTTGAAATTTAATTCATGTAATGAAAGTCTGTTCAACGGCTTGATACATTTTAGATATTTAACAATCAGGTATTCAAGATTTATGAATCAGTGTAGATTCTTTCTCTATCTATATATTACTCACCCTTTATCCTGCAGAGAACTTTCTAGCAGAAATACAAGTAACTATTCTTCCACGACTTGGTACAAATCAGTTGAGGCTCACATCTCATGAATGAGGAGAAACCTGGAATCAAAAAAAATTCTTAAACATATAATGATAATTCAAAATTCCTTTGCTATAAAATTTGATAGTCCATAAAAGCCACCTTTAACACAGATTGATCCAGCAAGTAACTCTGTGGTAATTGACACACCCCATAGGTAGCCCTACAGTTAGAATTGTTCACAAAGGGTCTATCTGCAAGCTGTGGGGACAAGCCAGGTTCTACCAGATGGAATTATGCAAATGTTTTCCTTGAACTCCCTGCAAAAATTATCAGTTTCCACAAGTCGGGTGACAGTTGTTGGTTAACAGAATGAAAACTCTGTGTTTGAAAGTTCATCTGGCCTGTGAAAGCACTAGGGTCATAATAAACAAACACATATTTCCTGCTGTAGTTTAAGAACATCGCCAAGAACTCTGCTTTCCCACATTTGGGGAATTTTTTCCTTTTATTTTATGGTGAGGCGATTGTTTTTAAATTAAAAGATAAGTATTTATACAGCCTTCAAAGCTTACCTCAACCATCTAAGAATGATTTTATCACATTTAGTTGCATTTAAATATAATCTACAAATGATCAAAAAAGTGACTACATATCTACTGATGGGGACCCAAAACTAAGAACTTCCCACAATCTTATTTCAAATCAAACAGAAACGTGAACCAAACCTCCATTAAAATTTCTTTGGAGCAGACAAGAAAGGTAGCATATTTGAACTGGATTACATTAGCACTAAATCAAACAGCTTAAAGTTATATTTATTAATAGAATGTTATTAAATAAAAGAACTACAGGGTAAAGGTCAACACACAGGTTGTTTTGGTTAATTTTTTAAAAATCCCCTGAGCCTGTATCTTTCCAATTTTTTTTTTTTTTACTAGTCAGCCAAGTTGGCACCTTAAAACCTTTAAATACTGTAATTATAATAGTGCTGATATTCAATTTGGAGAAATGCTATTAAAAGAACAGTTATTTCAGTGGACCCAAGGAAATAACAATGTGACAAATAGATACTTTTGATTGAGTACTTGCCTTGTGCCAGACACTCTACTTAGGGCTAGATTTACAGTGTCTCATTTAATACAACAATTATAAAAGCATTTGTATTATTTTCACTTTATAGTTAGGGAAACTGAGCTTCAGAGAGATTAATACTTGCCCCAGGCTGTGTACTAGTAAGTGGCAGAGTGGAACCAGGATTTTCCCCTGCAAAGCCCATGCTCTCACCTAAGATATGTGACTGTCTCCTAGTATTCCAGGTCCACTGTTAAAGAAACATTAGTAATCACTTACTCTCCTCTGACTGAGGAGGTTCTTCACCTATAGAAGTGGGCAGAGGGGTCAGTATGACTCATAACTGGAAGGAATTCTACAGAGGCAGTTACCCTACAACAGCTCCCTCATTTTACAAAGGGAGAGAAAATGAGCTTGGAAACTTAAGAAGCCTGCCCAAGGTCAGCCATTTAGTTAGTGACAGCATTAATTAGGACAAGAATCCATATCTCAAAAGCCCTACAAACATTGATAAAGGCAAAGGTAGAAAAACTGCTTTTATCTTATCAAATGTTCTGAAAAACTTGGAGAATATAAAAACAAAGATTTTAGTATGTAGGCTTCTTAAATTATCAGTAAATTTTTGAGTCCTTCTAGGATAACATCATATTCCCTGTTACATAAAAAAGCCCAAGACTATAGCATCCCTGGGCCAGCCACATTCTTATACTCAAAGAACTTTCTCAAGAGGAATCACACAGATGATCAAGAAGAATTTTTGCTTCTCAACCTAAAATCTGGCCTTCCAAGTAAGCTTTAATTGCCCAATAGGAGACCTGAAGTTTTTAAGATTTCACTTTTCACCTAAGAACTATTTAAAATTCTATTTTGAAGAGTAACAATATTCAGAAAGATTTTCTGAAGGGTAAAATTCAATCACTTCTGGGGCACCTGGGTGGCTCAGTAGTTGAACATCTGACTTCAGCTCAGGTCATGATCTCACGGTGAGTTCAAGCCCCACATTGGGCTAACTGCTGTCAGCAGGGAGCCTGCTTCAGATCCTCTGTTCCTCTCTTTCCACCTCTCTCCTATGTGCCTGAAGGCACATGCTTTCTCTCTCTCTCTCTCTCAAAAATAAATAAACACTAAAAAAATTCAACCGCTACTGTGACTAATATATACTACATATGAGCATTTCAATATATTAATATTTAGCCATGATTTAAAGCAGATCAGCAAAGAGCTGGGTGCTTTGATAATATCAAATGATTTCCAAAAAGTTGGTTTTCACAAAATCACTCTGATTTGTAAAATAGCATCTGCCTATATTGATTCTCAATATGAATAATGATGTGAAATGAGATGTGCTACTTCTAATATAAGGAGTCTTCCCAGAACTTGTTAAGTACATCACCCTGCCTTCTCTTTAGGAGAACCTCAGAAGAAGTCTTTTTATAATATTTGTTCCAAGATGAGTTGAAATTACTGGGACATTTTATTTTAATCTCATGGGCACTGGGACTTGGATAACTAACAAAGTTTCTGTTTTTAACATTGGTTAGTAGAGAATTGAGAGCCAAATGTGTGGCTCACTCATGGTAGATGAGTAGGTCATCATGGTATGCATCCTAAACCTTATTCATACCTCTAACTTGTCCCCACCTTTTTTCTTCTTTTACTTCCATTTTTTTTCTCAAAATAATATTTTATAACTTTTATATTCCTTTTCTGCACCATGACAAGGAATAGCTAAATATGTAAGAATATTATGCAAAATTATGTTTACTATACAAATATGTATATCCATAGGGGAATGTTAGGAGTGAAACAAAGATGTTCCATTACCATGACAATATTATAGCTAACTTTTTTCCTTTATTTTCCAAACATTTTGAAATTGTATTTACAACTTAGGGAGGAAAACATTATTTGAACTTTGAAATGGTAAGTTTCAAATGGCTGGTAAGTGACAGCCAAATTTCAAAGGCCTCGGAGTGCTATTCTAAGACTATCTTACTGCAATCTTAGAATAGAAGTTGAAAGCAACTTCCAGTTTTAACTAAAGTGCTTTATTGAAAGATAACTAGTAACTATATAGCAGAAAGAGTCAGGTATGGAAGTTGTTAGGCAAGGAAGCCAATTAGGAGGCTTATATGTTTGGGGCCTGGGGACAGGGAGGTTAATAAAAATTCAAGTTAGACTGAGGGAAATAGGGGATGCAATCAGATTTGACAAACTACGAAATGGGTGGGAAGGAAGAAACAGAATGATCTTCAAGGTTTGTTTTCCACTGCAGGTGCATGGATAGGTATAGGTGTCATTCAACCTAATAAAGAATTTAGGAGAATCGGGTATTTGGTACTAATTTGTTTAGAAGTGAGAGAAAAAGAGGAAAGGAAATGAGTTCATTATAGGACATGTTAGATATGAGGTACTTCCAAATCATACTGATGGAAATGTAACCCCAAGCATTCAGAAATACAGCACAGAACTGGAACTCTGGATGAAAGTTTGGTTAAAATATTGTAGGGTGTGTTGTGTGTGTATTGAATCCTTAATACTAGACAGCCTTCTTTCTATTTCCCAAGTAAACTATTTCAAACCTACCAAAGCAGTAGTCATCAGTGACTTCAAAAATGCCAAATCTGCTGGATCCTTTCAGCTCTCATTTTATAGTTATCCTTATAGTTTTTGCAGGATTGACTATTCCTCTCATTTATTTCTTGATCTTATATTTTCCTATTCTCCTACTTCTCAATCTCCTTTACTGGCTTTTATTCTTTTACCAGCTTTATTGTTGTGTTCTTGAGAATTCCCCTCTATTAAGTTTACACACTCTCCCTGACTGAGATGGAGAAGTCTAAGAGTGGAGGAGCTTAGGGAGAAATGAAAGTTTGTTGAATATATTGTTTGAAAAGCCTGTTAGACTTCCAAGAGAGTATGTTGAGTAGGCATTAGATATATGAATATAGACTTCAAGGGAAAAATCTGGACTGGAATATAAATTTAAAAGTCGTCAGCATATAAATAGTATCCAAAGCTAAAAAACTAGTTGGGGCCACCAAGGGGGAATTGGTGAAGAATTGTTAGAAGAGATGTCCAAGGATAGTGCTTGGGGTACTTCACATTTTCAAGGCAAATAAAGGAGAAGAATCCAGCAAAGGAGGCTAAGAAAGATCATCTAGCACAACTAGCAAAGTAGAAAGAGAACTAAGAGAA